GAACTCTGGGCCTGGGCGCTGTCCCTCAGCTCTTCAGCTCAAGGCGAGCACTCTACCACTTGAGCCACAGCGCCACTTCCAGTTTTCTGGTGGTTCATGGGAGAAAAGAGTCTCACAGACTTTCCTGCCCGGGCTGGCTTTGAACGATGATCCTCAGATCTCAGCCTCCTGAGTAGTTAAGATGACAGGCGTGAGCCACTGGTGCCCGGCTCTATCCATCTCTTATCTATACTGTCTTCCAAGAGGGAGGTAGGTAGGCTGCTTGGGTTATTATCTGAGAGAGAGAGAGAGCACAAAATCATAGCCAGCAACCAGGAGTTCTTGCCTGTAATCCTAGCAACTCAGGATCTGAGAATCCCAGTTCCAAGCCAGCCTAGGCAGGAAAAATCTGTGAGACTCCTATCTCCAATTAGCCAGCAGCGAGCCGGAAGTGGAGGTATGGCTCAAGTGGCAGAGCACCAGCCTCGAGCAACAAAGCAAACGGACAGCGCCCAGGCCCTAAATTCAAGACCCTGCCCAGCACACACAAAATAAAAAGGGCGCTGGGCCATGGCGGCTACGACACGCCCGTCGGTAGGTGAGCCAGCCTCAGGGAACCCTTGGACTCTTCTGTGTGCAGACTGCAGGCGACCATGTTCTCGTATCTCTCCCGAGATGCCCAGCACCAGCAGTGGCGGAGAAGCACCATGAGATCCTTCTGGAGGTTCCCGTTGAGGAAGCCGTAGAAGAGCGGGTTTATGCACGTGGAGACCATGGCGAGGAGGTGGCAGGTGATGAACACCGGGTCGTGGTGGCAGCCCAGCAGCGCCTCGTGGTGCCAGTCGAAGATGACGTTGAACACGTTCAAGGGCAGCCAGCAGGCCCCGAAGGTGCCCACGATGGCCAGCAGGGTGGCGTGGACCCTCTTGCTCTCGCCGGACCGGCTCTGCTTCTCCCTCCTCCTGCCCGCCGGCCTCTTCCTCCTGCGCAGACACAGGATGATCTTCAGGTAGCAGACCACGATGAAGCCCAGGGGGACCAAGTACTGGAGCAGAAACAAGGAGGTGGAAAAGAGGAGCTGGTTGGTCCTGGAAGGCCAGCTCTCCACACAGGCCACCAGGTCGGCGGGGAGAGAGAGGTTGGCAAAGGGCTCGTCGGTGAGGTGGTAGGCCAGGAAGAGAGGCACAGACAGCAGGAAGGAAAAGAACCAAACCAACGCCACACCCCCGTAGGCATGAAGCACCCCCGGCTTCCAGCCCCGCGGGTGGACGATCAGCTGATACCTCTCGACGGCGATTAAGACCAGGGAGAAGATGGAGACAGAGACAGAGACGCTTTGCATGTACGAGGTCAGTTTACACAGGAGAGCCCCAAACACCCAGTGGTCCATCAGCGTGTAGGTGACGGTGAGAGGGACGCACACCACACAGACCAAGACATCAGAGAGGGACAGGTTGGCGATCAGAATGTTGGTGACACTCTGGGCTTCCCTCTGCTTCTTGGCGATGATGGTGATGAGGGAGAGGTTCCCCAGAAGGCCCAGGATCAAGACCGCGGCGTAGGCCACAAGGAATAAGAGCAGCAAGGCCGACGAGGGCTGGCAGAACTCAAAGTGGGAGAAGGCAGAGCTGTGGTTGCCCTCTTCCCCAGTTCTATTAGACGCAGGCTGGTTTCCAGAAACTTCCATGGTGTCAAAAGGACGACCAGAGATGGTTTTTTTCTTTTTTCTTCTTCTTCTAAGCTTGCTTGTACGATGGACAGGTGGATAGTTTGAGATTTCGGTCATTTGGGGAACATCTCGCTCTGAAGTTTCTCGTGAGTGGTCGGGAGGTTTAATCTTCCCTGAGGACAGGCTGGATTTGTGGGGAAGCCATGGATGTCTTCCGTGTTATCCTGAGGCCCTCATAAAATTAACCAGAAAAGAGAAAAATCACCACACAGTGAATCCATTGGCACAATCCAAAAAAAAAAAAAGGAAAATTAAACAGAGCCCAGAACAAGTTATCAACCACAGGGGCAAGCCCCTGAGCTGGGCCGATGGCCCTGTGAGGAGACAAAATTCTGTGAGATTCTTATCTCCAATTCCCCAGCAAAAAATAAAAAGCCAGAAAGTGGCGCTGTGGCTCAAGTGGTAGAGCACTTGCCTTGAGCTGAAGAGCTGAGGGACAGCGCCCAGGCCCAGAGTTCAAGCCCCACGACCGACAAAAAATAAATAAATAAATAAAATAAAAAGCCAGAAGTGGAAGTGTGTGACACAAGCAGTAGAGCAGAAGCCTTGGAGTGAAAAAGTTAAGCCAAGAGTGTGAGACCCACGGGGCTGGGCAGTGGCTCAGTGGTAGAGTGCTTGCCTTGCATGCCTGAGGCCCTGGGTTCAATTCCTTAGCACCACCTAAGCAGAAAAAGCCAGAAGTGGCGCTGTGGCTCAAGTGGTAGAGTGCTCGCCTTGAGTTGAAGAGCTGAGGGACAGCGCCCAGGCCCAGAGTTCAGGCCCCAGGACTGACAATAAATAAATAAATTAGAAAAATAGGTGCCCTTCTTCTCTTTTTCACTCCTTCAGCTCTCTGAGATGAAAACTTGCTTCCAACAAGCAAATGGGGGTGTGGGGAGGGGTGGTAATTCTGCTCAGATTATAGAAACCAAATCAAGAAGCTGATTTGCTAGAGTTAAAAGTTTTGTTTTGTTTTTGTTGGTCCTGGGGGCTGAACTCTGGGCCTGGGTGCTGCCCCTCAGCTCTTCAACTCAAGACTAGCACCCTACCACTTGAGCCACAATGCCACTTCTGGCTTTTTTCTGCTTATGTGGTGCTGAGGAATCGAATCCAGGGCCTCATGCATGCAAGGTAAGCACTCTACCACTGAGCTAACTTCCCAGGCCTGAGTTAAAAGTTTTTTTTAATTTAATTTAATTTTATTTGTGAACATACTGTACAGAGGGCTTACAATTACATGGGCAGGATAATGCGTACATTTCTTACCAAGCATTTCTCTTGAGCTGGGCATGTGGCTCAGTGGCCAAGTGCTCACCTAGCATGCGTGAAGCCCTGGGTTCAATTCCTCAGTACCACATACACAGAGAAAGCCAGAAGTAGTGCTGTGGCTCAAGTGGTAGCCTTTATTTGTTAGGAATCTGAAGAAAACAACCTATACACGTGGATAAAAGGAAAGGCAGCAAGAGGTATGAAACAAAAGGTACTTTCACTGGCTGTGTTTTGAAAGGCCCTTGGCTGCTCTCACATCCTCCTGGACTTCAAAACCCCAGCAGATTGTTAACTTGGAAAGAAATTACCCAAAGAATACTTGCTTGGTCCGCAATGCTGCCACCAACACACGACACAATTAACTGCCCTAAGGATGTCACCTCTGAATAGAAACGGTTGATAAATACAGGATAGTTTATAAAGAAAAACTTCAGGGACTTATCTGTGACTCAGAGAAAGAATAACACATGTAAACAAACAGTGGCATTTGACATAAAGGTTTAGGCCCCCCCCGTTAATAAACCTAGAGTTTAATAGACCTAGAGTTCACAGACAGAGGCTAAAAGGACATTTCCAGATAGATTTAAGTTCTTTGTGTCTGTGGATAGACTAGCGGGCAATCAGTGAGAGAGAGAGAAAGCTTTGATTGCTAATTAAAGGCCTCCTACCCAGATAAACTTTTTTGGGGGGCAGGAAAAGAAAGGGAAGAACCATCGTTGAATAGGCTTCGGAATGCTAGTGGAGGCTCTCGGAGATGCCCTGTTTTGTTGCTAAGCAGCTGATTGGTTGGTGTGAGCAAGCCACTTCCTTCTCTGAGCTTCAGTTTTTCCATCTGTCAGATAATTGTGTGTGTGTGTGTGTGTGTGTGTGTGTGCGCGCGCACACACACTGGTACTGGTACTGGGTCTTGAACTCAAGACCCAAGCAGTGCCCTTTAGCTTTTTCTCTCAAGGCTGACAGTCCACCAACTTGAGCCCCATCCTCACTTCCAACGTTTGGGGGTGGGCAACTGGAGATAAGAGTCTCTTGGATTTGTCTGTCCAGGCTGGCTTGGAACCACAACCCCCAGATCTTTTACCCTCCTGCTCAGCTAGGATTGCAGGCGGGAGCCCTGGGCGCCGGCTTGGAAACGATTCAGATAGTTTTGCCAAGCCCACCCTTTCTTGCTGATCTGGGCTGTGTTCATAGTGGGTGGGGATTACCCTGCAGCCTCGGGTCTGGACCCGGTGGAGACCGCAGACTTAGTATCTTAAGTTCCTCCAGGAACTTAAAGCTTGGAAAAGCCAGAAGTAGGCCGAGTGGATTTCGTATCAGAGAAGAACGGGGGGGGGGGGGGGAGAGACAATGGTTTCCTCTACCCAGCGCCCTCAGTGCCATTCTAGAAAGTTCCATGGGAAGATTCCCAAAGAGGGATTTGAAATGGCAACGTGGGATTTGTGCTTCCCATACTTGGTAACTATTAAGTGGAAACGTTTACATCCTGCCCATCTTGAAGCAAAATAATACTAAGCTCTGATTCATAAAGACATTCTTGGGATACATTGCTGTTTTAGGAAAGCTCATCTCTAGTTTGCGTTGCTAGAAATTTGACCTAGGGATGTGCTATCTCATTTAACAAGCAATGTTTTGCTCAAAAGAACACGAGTAATGAATGGCAAAGATAGGCAGGCGGGCTTCTAGCAGCATTTTATCTAGCTTATGAAGGGGCTGGTTTAAACCGGATCCATTTAAGCCAATTACATTTTTTTTGGTGTGGGGGGGAGGGGGTTGTGTGCCAGTCCTGGGGCTTGAACTCAGGCCTGGGTGCTATCCCTGAGTTTTTTGTTTCCAGACTATCCCTCAGCCTTTTTCTTTGTTAATGTTTTAATTTTCTGGTGTTTAATTGGAGAGAAGAATCTCACAGTAGCTCAAGTGGTAGAGCGCTCGCCTTGAGCTGAAGAGCTGAGGGACAGCGCCCAGGCCCAGAGTTCAAGCCCCACGACCGACAAAAAATAAATAAATAAACTACGATCCTCAGATCTCAGCCTCCTAAGTAGCAAGGATTTACAGGTGTGAGCTACTGGCACCTGGTGATTATGTTTTTAAAATATAATTCTAAAGATGAGCAAAATAAGAACCTTACCCTACTAAACTCTGTGTGCATATTTATTTCTCTTTCTGAATATCTCTGTGTTACTACGTGTCTCCCTTTTTATTCCTAAAAATCCTAACTTGGTATGTGGTGGAGGAGGCAGTATTTAGGTATGCCACCAGTTCTTTTTGGACGGGTCACCTCTTCCCGTGCTTTCGCTCCCAGTTTTTCCCGCCCATCCTCACCCACAAGTTGTATAGTTCATTCTCAACAGTGAGCACCACTGCTGCATTTGTTCACCCTTTGTCCCTCCATTTCTATGCCTCCCCTTCCCCTCCCAAAGGCAGGTAGACAAAGAGAACAAAAAGAAAAGAAAGCAAAAAATAGCAGAAAGAAAAAAACTCCTCTTTTTATTTTCCTGGCGTTCATTTCGATAAATTTTATATTGTATGATCAGATGCACAGCTTCCTGTTTCTTGTGCATTAAAAAATTCCAGGCCAGGAACTGGTGGCTCACGCCTGACATCCTAGCTCCTCAGGACACTGAGATCTGAGGATCATGGCTTGAAGCCAGCCCAGGCAGGAAAAGTCCGTGAGACTTTTATCTCCAATTGCTCGACAAAAAAAGCCAGAAGTGGATCCGTGACTCAACTCACAGAGCAGCAGTTTTGAGTGGAAGAAAACTAAGGGACAACATCCAGGCCCTGAGTCCAAACTTGAGCGCACACACACACACACACACACTCGTCTTTATTACTTCAGAGGGTCTATGGCCTCTAGTGAAGTCTGATGCATGCCTTAAGTATTTAAGGCGAAAAATAGGTGAGAAGCAGACTGCAAGACACACACACACACACACACACACACACACTCACACACACACACACACACACACACAACCTTGAGCTCCTGTCACGATCCTCAAATATCAAGGAATGCAGATTCTTTGGTTTGCTGATACCATACCATCTCCTGCTTGCTTAGGGCGTCATGATTTTTAGAGTACAGCCCTATTCATTAGTAAAGTCTGCTGACAGATGACTGGTTTACTGGATCTGGACATCCATTCTGAACTCTAAATAGAAAAGAGTCTTTAATTCTGGTTTTTAAAACATAGAATCTAAGCCAGGGTAATCCTTAGCTACTGGGGAGGCTGAGATCTGAGGATGGTGGTTTGAAGTCGGACTGGGCAGCAAAATCCAAGACACTTATTTCCAGTGAATCACCAGAAAACTGTAAGTGGCGCTGTGGCTCAAGTGGTAGAGTGCTTGCCTGGAGCTGAAGAGCTGAGGGACAGCGCCCAGGCCCAGAGTTCAGGCCCCGCAAACGACCAAAAATAAATAAATAAATAAACAAATAAATAAATGTATACACACATGCAAAAAAATGTTTTCTTGTATATTCAGTCATTTGGTTGTTTTTTTAAATAGTCAAAACTTCTCATTTCTGTTGCATGAAAATAAATCAAACTTATATCTCTATAAAGACATACTGAAAACTTACCCTAAGAAAAGTTGATTATTCACTGGCCCACAACGAAACAAAGAAATACTATCTGATTTCCCTCTCAGCCTTATTAAAAGTCTAGTTGGCCTGGCTACTCAACATCGTAAAAAAATTCATTATCACCATTCCACAT